TTGACTTTTAGAGAGCTTAAGCCAAAAGGTTTACAATATAGCATTCCAGTTAGCAGACAAGTGTTCTTGAACCTGCATGCACCGAGGCCAGCACACAGACAGGGTCTCATACAAAGATGGAAATACTCTTCTTTAAGAAAGGCAGAATGGCTAGTGTCCATAAAAATATCACTGTGGTAAAGATAAATTCATTTTGAACATAAATGAATTAAGTTCATTACAGACTACATGCTTAAGACCTGATACAATATAAAGAGCAATAGGTAAGGGGGTAGAAATGGAGTAGTTTATTTCATGGAAATTTGTTGTCTTTTTTCTTGGAGCCGACGACTGTAAAAATTATGCTCTTACTTAGTGTGTATTGTCTATTTCTTTGTCTTTGACTAGGCAGCATGGCTACAAAATTATGACCTCAAGAAGGCATTCTTTGAACTTGTCAGAATGTTGTTTCTTTTGGTGACAGTGCCCCCATCTCTCAAAACTAAGGCATCTCACATAATCAGCTAAATGAATAGTGACAGCTAACATTTTGTATTTAAACTCCTGTCAGTGTTTAAACATAAAAAGCTTGATGCAAAATAAATCAAACACCAGTGATATGCAAGTGAAACATTTTGTTAAAACAGTCTCTGACATACTTGGATTTAAATCCGATCCCTTTTTAGCTTATAAAATGCAATAACTTTAAATGCATTTGAAAAATCTAGAGGTTAAAATTGACTTGCTAATCTGGAGTGTATATAATTGAAGTCACCACATGCCTTCATAACCATAAAAGCTTCGTTAAAGAGAATTGTGCACTAAATAAATGAGAAGGATCCCTTCCTACTTTTTGTCTTCCTGAAATGCTTGCTTAATTGTTTTTAGAAAGAATTTGACTGCCTATTTATGTTTTTTTCCAGTTCACACTACCTACCTAGCACACAGATTCAACGCGGTTTTGAAAGAACGTCAGTCGACCACATCATTTATTCCATTTTGAAAACAAAAATCAATATACCTATAAAGTGACCCATAAATTAGAACTGGCTCACACAATGTTTGTTCAGTGCTGCCTTTCTGAAGGCACCCTTTGCATTTTTTCTTCACCTCTCTGTTTGAACTGCAGTCTCGGTAAGAGGCTCATTAGGGGACATTAGGGACTGGAGCTAACCAGAATTCCAGAGCTTGCTTTGCTCTTATTAATGCATAGTAGAGTAGAATGCATTTAAATATTTCATAGGCATTCAGTAATTTGTGTGTAATCGCCTTGTTAGCAGACCAGTAGAAGTAGAACAGGCCTGTGAAATGGTGTTAGTGATTGCATGGGTAATTTACAGACCTTTGCCATCAGAAAGAGTATTATTGTTGGCTAGTATGAAGCTGTGAAATAGAACTAGCAATAAGTAAAAAAAGAAACTTAATAAAGGTTTTGTAACAAGCATCTTCAGGGATAACAACCCCACTTGGTCCTTTTGAAGCAGCCATAATTTATGACATAGGCAATATATCAAATGCATAAGATAGTATTATGGAGCATTCATATGAAAAGGGTATTTGCAACATTAGTTCCAACTTCCTGCAAGGGACATGATTAAATGATTAATGAAATGTCCCTTTGCATATGCATTTTGAAACAGCAATTAGGCACTGACTGAGAAAATCCACCAATCCTCTCATTTTTCAGTATTATCTCATTCTTGATTTATAAATCATAGAGAATTTTTGAACAGCAATATGTAGTACCTGAGATAGTTATAAAAACATAAAAGAGAATAATTTGGGCACAAAATAGTCATAAATACATAAATTCATAATTTAATGTTAATACTTAGCCTATTTATTTAGTCTTATTGCATTGTATTTATATCCGACACTATTTCTGTACTTTGATTGGCATAATTAAGTAGGGGGAATGAATAGGCACTATTATTTTACATATCACTGGTAAACAATAGCGAGGAAAGGAGAAGGGAGATGTGGCAGAGGTATGTATGTGTTTTTCAAGTTCTCAGTAATCCACTGGAGGCTGTTCTATAAATGATCATTGAAGGGCTGCAAGCTAGCCTATAATTACAGGAAAGAAAGTGGCAGCTCTGGCATTTCATAACTATGTGTCCTCGAAAAGTGCTTTGTGAGTTTGTCACCAATGATAATTTAGATAGAGGCTCATTACTGAACATCACAACACTTTAAAAACCTTTCGCCTTCATACAGGAGAATAAAGGACTATTTTAATGGCAAGGTTCTTTTGTGTTCCACTGAAAAATTCAATCAAGACAAAACCTCATTGACTATTATTGTAGTCTACAGTCTCTATTCTAATAAAAGCTGCATAGATAAATTGAATAGGTCTGTAAGACCCAAGTGTATAATGCAAACATTTTGTACTTTTTAAAGTTCTTTAAATATAAGATAATGATTATCCCTAAGAAGTAAACAAGTGTGAAAAATCTTTTTAAAAGGTGATTTCATGCAAAAATAAACATGTTATACTGAACATACCTTTCCTCATGAAAGTGTGTATTCTACTTACCTTGCTTGCTTCATTTATATCTTTCTTTATGGATAGATGAAGCAGTTTTAATAGTATGCATCAGTTAGACCAATTGTGAGATAAATATGTGTGTTCTCGAAGAGTTTCTGGGTGAAAATAACCATGTAAAAATGTAAGAATAGCAAGCCTTGATAATTCAACCAAACACTGCTTTATGCTGATAGGAAGTCCTCTCACTATTCATTTAAATTTGGGGGAGAAAAAAAAAATCTCTGAAACACAATTTTTAAGTGTTATCTTGTTAATTAGGAATTGGTGACACTACACTACAAGCTAACCTCTGAGTTACTCTTTACAGTCCATGCCTTCTTTCTAGAGAGTGAGTGCATGTTAGGAATCCTGGCAGAACCAGCCTGAACTGAGCTTAGAACAGACAGGTATACAAAGTGCCTCTCCTGCCCTCTCGCCACACACCTCCGGCTTGACCTGATCCACCTAGCTATTTTAGTCTGCAGGCTCTCTTCAACCACGACTGACAGTTGTGCCCAGAAACCTGGAGGTGTTGTTGATGGGATCAGTAAGGAAGTATTTAAACAAAGTGGTTTAATTTATCAAGATATGGGACAAAGTGAAACAAAGCATTCTGTTTGCTGAGCCTACTTCTAACAAACCTTCATGGTTGTAAATCAGTTCATTCTCAGAAAAGCCATTTTAATTCTTCTTCATAACTATTACATATATGTCTATTTTTCCCTGCTTCAACATAACTTGTAAGAAATCTAGGTAAATAATTTTAATGGCTACAAAAACATATTTGTTGAATTTAGTATTCTCAAGGCTTAAATAAACTGTTGGGACTGTTAGGCCATTCTCAGTGCTACCTGAGCCCACATAAGTAAATATATAATTTCTTATTTAATTTTGTGAAGATTTTTGCTCTTTCATGTATGTGCCTTGAGGAGGACATTTCTTAAATCGCTGCCTTATAATACCCATTGGTGAAATAGACATGCAAAAGGATACTGAATTACTTGAAAATCACATTTTCTTAATTGGAGGAGGCATCAAATAAATTATATTTTACAAATTATAAAGTATTAGGTTGTCAGGAAAGTCATAACACACTTTTTACATAGAAAAATACGTCATGACTTTTCTGATGACCCAGAGAAAAGCCATTTTAATTCTTCTTCATAACTATTACATATATGTCTATTTTTCCCTGCTTCAACATAACTTGTAAGAAATCTAGGTAAATAATTTTAATGGCTACAAAAACATATTTGTTGAATTTAGTATTCTCAAGGCTTAAATAAACTGTTGGGACTGTTAGGCCATTCTCAGTGCTACCTGAGCCCACATAAGTAAATATATAATTTCTTATTTAATTTTGTGAAGATTTTTGCTCTTTCATGTATGTGCCTTGAGGAGGACATTTCTTAAATCGCTGCCTTATAATACCCATTGGTGAAATAGACATGCAAAAGGATACTGAATTACTTGAAAATCACATTTTCTTAATTGGAGGAGGCATCAAATAAATTATATTTTACAAATTATAAAGTATTAGGTTGTCAGGAAAGTCATAACACACTTTTTACATAGAAAAATACGTCATGACTTTTCTGATGACCCAGTACATAGGATTGAATATTTTCATATTCATTGGCAATGCTGATCTAATAAATTACAAATTACTTTTGGTGTACTCATAGGCCAGGCCAATCATTAAAGACATTTCTGTAAATATGTAATACTAACCATAATAAGCTATTCATATTCAATATTAGAGTAAGATGATGAGAATGACTTAGCTTTCACATTTTTGTGTAAGTTTGGGATAGATGTCTCTCAGGACACTAGACCCACAATGTCACTCTTCTGATGCTTTTGATGATCAGAACCTTCAGTGAAGTTTATTAATAAGAGCAGATCATTATTGTTCATAGGTGCTGATATTTCTGTGGTGTGTAAACTTGCCATCTTTGCATAATTTGTACCACGTCACGGTAAAATAAGACATTCACTAAAAAACATCGTGGGACAACAGACATTTTAACAGAAATGGTAGAATTGCCTTTATTCTCTTCAGAATCACTGTTGGATTAAATATGACAATGCACCCTTTAAAAAAAAAAACAAATGGCATGTGTATATTCTCTTCAGAATCACTGTTGGATTAAATATTACAATACACCCTTTAAAAAAAAAACAAATGGCATGTGTACATGAAATACATCTAGTGATTTCAACTGTTACTCTATAAGAAGTGTGGGGAAATATTTGTGAAATAACAGACAAGCTTAGAGGCCATGGCATGTCCTGCCATGTGAGGAGTCTCTTTATATTACAGAAATAATTTTCACTAAACATGTAAGCACATTGCACTTTTTTTTTTCTGTGTAGTAGCGAGCATTTCATTTCCCCACAATGGAGGAACACAGGACTTCAGTGTAGTGTTTTAAAGTGGAGCTCTGAGGTAGACATCACTTAATCTTCTGTTCTGTGTTTTGGGTTTGTTTAGGCACCTTAATAATGAACACGCTTTGGATGACCGAAGCACTGCCCAGTGTCGAGTACAAATGCAGGTGGTGCAACAGTTAGAGATACAGGTTTGTCTAATGCTCACTCAGTGGCCTCCTTTCTTGGATTTCTGGTGTATTAAATTGAGTACTAAAAAACTCCTGGGTCTTTTTGTTTACATCTTATTGTCTCTGGAACACAATGACTGTTAGCGATACATGGAATTTTGATGTTTTTTAATACTGATAAATGTTGCTAATTCAGAACGAATTGCTGTAGTTTAATATACTGACCACTAAGGCTTATATATAACCTTTAGAATCTATCATATGCATGTGCATATTATAAAACTATTAACTCTAAATTTTGCTAATATAGGTTAGGCCAAGTCTCCAATTAGATATGATTTTATTACAGAGACAGTTTTGCATGAGCTAATCTTGATTTTTGCCCCCCCCCATGGGCTTTTGTAGTATAGCAAAAGGCTATTATTCTTTACAATATCATGCCTGTAATAAAAGCCCTGAAAAATAACTTTTCTGCTTCTAGTACATTTTTAATTAAAGAACTTGCAAAAACCCTTAATTCTTGTCTTTAACTGGAGTAATGGCAAATAATTTATATCACAGATGGTAATGGATGCGTGGTATCAAATGCTGCTATTTTAAGTTAAAAAAGAATTCTGTTAACGTTGAAATAGAATTTGGCCAGAAGTAAATAGAATTCATAAAACTGATCAGAAAGCAATTATATCACCCAGAGTCTCACCCATTAAGGCTTTCTCTAACAAGCCATCTTAAAGAATATTTTTTCTCAATCAGACCAATACTCAGTTTCATTTAATTACACATGATTTATTTTTCTTCACACCGTATGACATCTCACATTGTTTTAAGTTTATCTTGGCGTTGCCTTTTTTCTGGAGAGCTACTGAAAATATTTTATTTTGACTTAGTAAATAATCAAGAACTCATCAAAAAACGTCATCACTGCTGTAGTTCACAAAGCGTTCAGTAACCCTGTTTACCATCTATTACATGTAAGCTGCAACATAAGATCAGCTGATGATACAGTCTACAGTGTGACCAATTACGCCTCTCTCTCTCTCTCTTTTTCTGCTGTGTCTGACTGATGGAAAAGTAAGGTCCGTCAGTTGTAATGAGACCCAGTGCAAGTGTAGATGCCGACTCCGTGGCAGAGTTCAGCGTTTCACACTGCCTGGTCTCTGTCACTCTATTGAATTAGATTGATGATGGCAGATTGCAGGGGGCACTAACTGGACCTCAGTGGGAATGCATGAAGTGTGTAGACAATCCTGGCAGGCACTTCGCTTTGAGAACCCTTCACCCCTTCACAGCTGTTGGCACTAGTCCATTGCTAACAGTGTCCACAGGACTTTAAAGAGACACCATGGGCCTTCTAATTTATGGTTTCAGTAACTTGTTACTGTCGAGGCAACTGTGACCTCAATTCTCTTATTGACAAAAAGATGAAGTGTTATTTGTTTTCTCTGACCTTTTAACATAAGAAAAGCTATAAAAGTTTTTCCCCCCTCTGTATCCAAAGTTGCATTTCCTCCCAGATAAGTTCCCACGGACATGGACTTTTATATGCAGGAATCATTACTCTGAGACAAGCTCAATGATAAGATGTATCACTGCAATAAAATGGCTGTATCAGTCATTTCTAAAATGCTTCTGATCTCACTCTTTCTTAACAGCTTTCTAAAGAACGCGAACGTCTTCAAGCAATGATGACCCACTTGCACATGCGACCCTCAGAGCCCAAACCATCTCCCAAACCTGTAAGTGCATATTGCTTTATAAACAGTAAATAGCTCTACTGATGTAACAGACTAAGAAAATGAACAATTTAGTGACAGTTAGAAAACAATAAGTGTGATGAAAAATATGGCAATAAAATGAAAGTAAAATGCAATCGCTTGTCAAATTGTATGTTTCTTTTAAAGTAATGCTATCTTTTACAAAATCTATCCAATCTACACCGTGGGTGACACTAAACAAAGTACACCTATCAGTGCACAAATCACCGCCTTGAGGCTGAAGCCAGAGAGAATATCTTTCTGTGATAGGTTTACCGATATTAAAAGGAAACCCACTTAGAGCAACCTGAACAGTGGAAACAGTACAAATCACAAATAGAAAGTCCGTGGCTTGCCGAAAAAGATTTAGATCAATCACAAAGTACATACAAATAGATTTTTTTTATCAAATATTTTGTCAAAAATGTCATACTATTTCTACAGCCAATTTTATCCTATTTCTTTTGTTATTATTTCAGTTAAAAAGGTATTTCATGTATTGGTATGTTTCACTATATATTATGCACAGTGTTAATTTAGAGAGCTTATCACAAA